GATTCACCTTCTTTAACGGCGCGGAAACAATGGGTAAATTTTTCGACGTCATAATATCCCTCGCTCGGGGCTGCTGCAGTTTGTGTTGAGGGTCCAGCAACGGGCTCCTCCACTTCTTCACCATTTACATTAGTAACTCGCGTTATTAGATTGATCTAGTTGCCATTGTGTTATTATTTTACCAAAACAAGGCTAAAGAAAAAAAAGAAATTAGAGATGCTTGCACAGTGCACAGTACTTGATGTGTGGTCAGAGGTTAAAGTTTACAAGTTTTTATAGAGTCCAAAAGAGACTTTGGACAAAATGTAGGTGGGGAATGTGAAGATAATCCCTTTTCCCCTCACTTACTACCCCCTTTTCTTCCTCATTTTGCTTTTGTCCCTTACCATAGCCCGAGCGTAAACATCTGCATTTGTAATTTATTGCTTTGTTTACTTTTTCTTGCTTCCGTTTTATGACCTTGTTTACTCTTTTCCCTTTTTCCGTTTTCTCCAAAAAGCAACAAGAGAAAAGAGCACTTAAGTTGGGAGGTTGGAGACAAGTACATCATCCCTCTAATCTCTGTACCTGATCCTATGTTTTGTCCATTTATTTTACTTTTTTCCTTATTCCGTTTAAAAACGAAATAAAGAAGTATGCTTATACTTATACCTATGTTAACTTTTTATTTTAAAACCATATCCCACATTCTTAGTGTTTTCACAGCTCCTCGTTCGTTAGTGTCTTTTGTAGACAATACGGATCATCAGCGAGTATACGCAAGTTCAATCTACACTTAACAACTCGTTCATCTTTTTGTAATGCACTGAAATCATGGGGCACCCATTTTCCTAGTTTTTTTGGTCAGTTTCATTTCTTTTCTTATAACATCACTTAGGGTTTACCTAGAAACTATTTTAGATGAAAGAGACCTTAGAGACCAATGTATCGATTTCGCTAATGCGTCGTTGATCAGAGAAATTTTCTCTTCTTTAGAGTCGGGAGAAATGCGATTTCCACCTCGTTTATCGGTAAAATCAAGATCACCTTTTTTAAACTAAGCCATCAAATTTTTAATGGTTCCTAGCACGCGGGCGTTGTTGCCAGTTATTGTTCTTAAATCTTGATGCACTTTTGATGCCATGTGACCAATTCTTCAGTAGGCACGGACGTAACTTCGCTGGTCGTAGAGTGTTGTTATGGTCTTCACGGCTTCAGACATTTTTATAACACAAAATTAAGTAAACAAGATTACGTGATTTAGAACGTTTAGTAAACGTGATTATGAATGAAATTCTCTTCAAAATCACCTATGACATGTCACTATAGTGTCCATAATAAGCGCGCGATATTCAAAAATACAGTCATCGTTTGCTCACAACTACCTTATAGTTCACCTTAATAAATTTAGTTCTTTTTAATTAAATCTAAGGTCCCTTACTTATCCTTGAAATTTTACTGTTATACAGAGTAATAATCAAATTTGAGGTCAAATTATTCTGGTTGTTCACTTTCCTTCGATTATAATAAAGATGCATCAAAATCTACCAGTTGGATATTAATCAATACTTGACCTAAAAATTAAATTAATGACCGAATTAAAATTTCACCTTGGATGAGAAAGTGAAAGGGACGTTTCCTTAATTATTGACCTCGAGGACAATCTAATATTGTCATACAATTGTTGATTTTAAACTGTAAGGTTCACAGTTATTTTACTTGTCATTTCGAAAAGGTGCACATTCAATATATAAGTTTATAAAACTTTCAACCTTCATGATTTTCAGTTTATTTCTTAATAATAAGTTTGTTTCATCGTTATACTTGTGCTAATATTTCATTTGAGTATTTTATCAAGTGTACAAGAAATTTGGAAGGATGAAACAATTTTATTTAGTCTTATGGATTACGAAATAACATCAGCAGCTGAGCTGCCGAGCAATTTACAACAGTACATCGAGAATTCCGTCACTGAAAATAACCAACTCAATGAAGAACAATTAGAGATAAAATGGAACCAACAAATGGCTCAATGCAAAATCGGATGTGGTTCAATCAATATCCCAATGTGTGGAGGGGTTTACTATTGAAACACAAACGGATCCGCAACCATCTGTTAACTTTTTTGAAGCCGCTCTAAAAGTTTGTAACGAAAAAATCGATCCGCTCACTAATTTAATTATTAACCTTAATTCAATGTTTATTCATTGAAAAAAAAAAGTTGGAGCTACGAGGACGAATTCTCATGAAGTAATTTTCTGACAAAAAGATTATTGATACCTAAGGTAACACTTGGGTACAACTTTTTGCGATAATCAAGTTAAATAAGCAAGTTTTATTTTCATTTCAATTTTATATAATAACCGGTTTTGCGTTGAGCCAGAAATGACTTTTTTATACTACTATTGTTGAAAAAGCATGATCCTTCTAAGTCTCCATCATGGAAAACATAAGGTTTGTTGATCAAATACACAATGTTCAATACATAATGTGCAATACACAACTTAATGTCTTTTTCTATTTCTATTTCTTTGTGTCCATTAACCGTCGGGTTGAAACGCATTTTAAACTGGATCGAAAAAACCAACAAACAAGTTCCCGAAAGTGTGGAAAGAATGATCGACAACGCAATCATGTATATTGATCTTTCGGAAAGGAAAAGATTGAGAACATGAATATTAAAAATGAAGTGGAGCGGTTGAAAACTTATCTCCTGGCCCAGCAACGGGAAAATGACCAGATAGAAAGAGAGAAGGAAGAAAAAGAAGAAAGAATTGAACGACTTGAAATCATCCTGTATGGTCAACAGATGATGATTGATAATTATCAAGAACATATCCAACAATTGGAGGAAGAAAGGGAAGAAAGAAAAAGTTATTTGGAGTACATTGACCGCAAATGTGAACAATACTTCAGTATTCCAAGCAAGAGTTTCACAACAGATATCTGCAATGGGCAGAAGAGCGAAGTCGGCAGCTCGAAGCACAACAAAATAATAGAAATCTTTAATTTCATTTCTTTGTAAACTAACATTCAATTTAGTTGTTACCATTAAAACCGATTTTTTATAGAAAAACTTTGTTTTTTATCAAAAAAAGAGCACACCGTCATGAAATTTGGTCCAGGACCGCAAGTTGGTCCAGAACAGCGAGTTGGTTCAGAGCGGACGAGTTGGTCCAGAACAGGACTTTTGATATCTACTGTGGGTGAGTATCAAATATATTCACTAGATCATCAGCTTCAATTTCATACCAAAAGGTTAAATTATTCAAAAAATAAACAAATTACAATCATTTGAACAAAATGTTCTTAACTTTTTCACACACTTTACTAGCCATTTCCCAGGTTATACCAACCAAACCAGGTTTAATATTTCGCCGACTAACAATAGGATCATGAGCATGCACTAAATAGACTGGCAATTGTTGACTATAAGCCGTTGTTTAACTACATTGCACTGAAATCACTGGAAGAGTCCCGTATTTTAATTCTGAGTTGCTAAAATTATGATTATTTCCCTTACATTTTTTTCTGCAAACATGGAATCACAAAATTCGTGAGTTTTTAGCTCATGTCAAGCTTATCGATTCTCGAAAGAACTAATCGATGCTCATTTTCTGAAATGAATCGACCCGTATCGATGTAATCGAAGTAATCGCCCATCTCTATGACGAAGGATACCTAATTTGAAGAGGCGAAGGTGATGATGAAGATGCTGATTTAGGAGGTGAGGGAAGTGAAATGTCATCTTCTTGACCAGGTTCACTAATAACTATATGCAATGGATCGGTTATTCTAGTTTTAGAAGCCGCTGTGGACCTTGTTATTGGTGCTGATGATGAAGGGTGTACTGATAGCGGACCTTTTGGTGAAGGTATTCTAGTTGCCATATCAGTTTCATTTATTGACCGCATTTGATAATAATTGTTTGACTATAAGTTGGATGAAGTTGATCGATACTAATCCAATCCTCCATGATTTGAAACGGACTGTATGCAATAAAATACATTTACTCATCTAATAGAGTCGATTCAAGTCAGACCTTTTTTTCACACAATTGTAGTTGCAATAACAATGATACCTTTTTAAACGTAAAATTAATGAAAAGATATGAATCCTTAAATGGAATGAAATTTTCACGAATGAATTGATTATTTAAGAGGGAAACAAGATCATAATCATGAAGTGGTGTGAATAAATTAGCAAATGATGAAAAGGTGATGATGAAGATGATGAAGTAGTGGAAGCTGGCAAGATGAAAAATTAACATTAGATGCATTTGTTGGCCGATAATGTAAACTCCCTCTCTTCCAGTTGATCTTACCTTACCTGTTGTTATTCACTTGCCTCCCTAAAATAATGAAGAAAAAAATGATGAGTTTCACTGATAATGATAATAATAGTGAAAAGACTTGAATCAAAAAAAGATGATCATCAAATAGCCACAACAAACCTAGAAACAGGCAAACAGTCAAGTTAACCATTCGTGCAAACCAAATATCTGGTTAAATAAATTGTTCATCATCATTAGTTTTCCGTTAAACATGTAATTGTCATCATCATTATCATCACCTTATTGGCCATCATGAAGATGCCCATTTCATCCTCATCTTTTATACCAATCAACACAAATTGAAATTTTACTTTGTTTTTCCTTCTTCTTCTTCTTCTTCTTTTACCTTTGAGCTTTTGAATTTTTAATTCAATTTAACCATTAACCAAGTTTGATTGTTATCAATTTAATTAGAGTAAAAAATGGTAATTGCAACAAATTTTTATTAATAATTAGCTTTCAATTGTGATTGTTAAACAAAGGTAAACCTGTTTTTTTGTTAACTGTGAATCTGTTTACAAGTAATCAACAAAACAAGAAACATAATTGTAAATGAAAGTGCCGTTTAATTTTGTGCAAATTAACAACAATGGGTTCAACCGATATCAACCATTTTAGCCTCAACATTCAATGATAAGTTGCCAAGTTGTTCAATAATTGGTTTTAAAAACAGTTAAATTGAAAGTCGATGAATGAAACAGCTTATTTACACAACAATAGGTCAGTAAAAGAGGAACCAAACCCCGTTACGTCCATCAAAGGCTCTACCATCGCCAAGAGTAGTTACAATTATAATAACAATTGTAATGATAATAATGATAAGAAACAAAATAGCTTATCAACGGAACAAGCTTGCACTGTAAAGCGTAAAGCGAATGCTTACACCAACAGCAACAACAACAACTCCATCAACCTAAGTATACCAGACGTGAGTTTATTACCTCAAGTGACCAGTTCATCCTCATCATTTACCTTTTGTCCTTCATTATCTTCATCTTCTATTTCCAGTATCATCAGTGATCATATCATCAGTGATCATCCAACACTAAATGAACCCAATCAAGAGCAGCAACCTTTAACCGGTAAAAGCCTTGCTCCTTTCAAGAGACGTTGTTTTTCCGACCTTGGATTAGGATTGTTTAAATGTTACCCAAATGACCAGGATGACCGTGATGGTGATGAAGGTAATGCCAGCCACTGTTATGGACCAAGATTTGGATTAAAGGAAAAAACTGCTCTAATATTGCCTCTACTGATTGGTGTTGATAAAGTGTCGACTCTTACGGAACCCTTTTTGTTGACTACTGAAGATATTGCTCGTCGTTCAATCCAACCACCAACAATGTCTAGATCTTCACATCGAGATCGAAGTCAGCGTAAAACTTTACCCGTGATTGGCAAGAAAATTGGTGATCTCGAGAGCTATGTTAAACCCATTAAAGGATCTTCTTCTTTAAATGCTCCGATTGACAGTTTTTCTCGTCCACCATCTTATGAATCTGAATCTTGGGCTGTCCCGGTTCAAACCATGACTCAATCAGATTCAGATGATCAACAAGACTCTAGTGAAAGTGAAAGTTCAAAGGTTGACTTTGGTACAGTTCATCATTCACTGGCAAAAGAAAAGGTTGAACCAACGGATAAAAGTTCAGCAATGGAAACAATGGAATATAAATTTCAACAAACTCGAAGGAAACGTCAACAGGTTAAAAAGTCGAGCCGGTTAACACCAATAGCCACAGGTATGTTTACCATTTACATCATTTTCTTTATCAATATTTTTCTATTTCTGGATTTATTCCCATTCTAAATGAGATAATCATTGAGAAAAGCATGAAGTTTCAATGTTTCAAGTATTGATAGTCACGCCTATGGCTTTTATTGGTTAACAAAAAACTGGTTTCTTTCCAATCGTTCAATGTTTAATCAATGAGAGTTCAATCATTTTACATTCCTTATTAGAATGCAATGTTAACTGTTAATGATTTACCATTAAATTGAAACAATTGAACAATACAATTTCAGAGAACTTGAGGTTAAAGGCTGAAAAAAAGAATCAAATCAATTCTTCATTTCCAATGAATGGTCAAGAAAGGTTGTGACAAGCTTTACATTTTTTGCTCGAAATGATTCGAAATTTAAAATTCAATTTTTCCCCATGAAATCAGCTTCAAGATTCATGAGATTCAAAGTTGATTTTCAAATGTTTCACCAAATGTTTTACATTCAATTTTTGAGCAAATTTTCCATTTTTGGTAAAAAAGAAAATTGATTTAACCCAAAATTACCCAAATCTTAGCAATGACCCAATGTGCATTAATCAAGTTTGAAAACTAATTACAATCAAATCTTTAATGTTACATAGCTGTAAACGCATGATTAGTAAATTGAGAACAACATTCAACTGTTCAGTTAATGTCTACAAATGTACAGAAGAGTTTAATTTAAACCAAATACGAGTATTAATTGTAATATTGTTGGAAATGTTGGGTTCAAATCAGGATTGTTGAGAAAAGTTATTAATAATAATAATAATAATAAAAATAATATGAAATGCTGGAGAAACAAACAAATGAAAAATACTGGAAACCATGAAAATAAAATTGAAACTTAAATATAAAATAATAATTGTTACAACAGGTGAAGGAAAATTGTGATCAAATCTTAATTTGTTGGGCCTTCCTGGTCATGAGTTGCTTGCAACTACAAGCCATTTAACAACAAGCCAAAACAATAACAGTGAAACAATTACAATATGATTTCAAGTTAAACATGCTTATATTAGCTGTTAGCGTGGTTAATACAACCTGATAATGTATTAGTTGCAGTTTACATTAAAATGATGGTGAAAAAAAGTGTTAATGTTAAAGATAACATTCCATTGGAATGCTGATGATGATGTAAAAGTGCGCATTTACAGCTGTAAATTAGTGGGCCATTGTGTTAATAATCATTTCAATTCCTATTACAATCGTGAGTTTACCTTTATTAGGTAGAAAACAAAAAATGAAAGACTTGCATTTTACCATTCACTTCATCATTCATTTGGCGTCTTGATTACCTTCTTTGTTTTTCCAGGTAAAACAAAGTCCATCAATGATCATAATATTAAGGTTGGCCTAATCATGTGTGAATGTTAACACTTTTATTTGTCATCATTTTACCCAATTTTATGTTAATTGTTACATTTCAATCGTTACTTTGGGCTTGTGATTTAAATCATGAATTTTCATGTTTCTTTATTTACATTGTTATTTGTTGCCAATGTAAATTGATGATCATTAAGGAGTGTTGCTTTTTGTCTGATTAATAATGGATGTTGATGGCCTTTGAAATATAATTATCACCTAAATTATAATTGAAATGAGATGAAATACAATTGGAAATAAAAGAATCACATTTGCATGTTTTCTGGTTTTCTGGTTTTTTTAGGTTTTGGGTTAAATCTTATTGTGACAATTTTGTTTGCCTTTTTGGCTGTTCAAGATTTACCATTGATTTATGCCTCAACCTGTTTTGATTGTTCATCCTTTACCCAGTTTTACTCAATTTTATCTGAAGAGTCATTAGTCTTGATCAGGTTTTACTTTTACAATCAACCATTAAACCAGACAATTTAATGTTAATTGTGCTATTGATACAGATGGTGTTAATAAGGTTGATTGGCAGGCAGGAGTTGCTTGGTGAACAAGGTGAAAAATAGTGAAAAATAAATAAAAATTTATTCCCAATCAAACTAATCAATTGTGAAAACGTGAATATTTCAAGTTGCTATCAATGATTCAAAATAACATCCAAGTCTCATCGCAATCAACTCAAACCATTATGAGTGATTTAGTTTGTGATTAACAACAAAATGGCAAAATTTTAATTTCTTTTTGTTACAATAATGAAAAAGCCATTCAATGATTTAAATTGTGAAAATTTAAACATTTACTTTTGTTGATCAACAATCAATTTGTCCATCAATAGTGCATGGCTGTTGACATTTGTACAATTTTATTAACTTTGACAAAAATTGAGAAAGGTAAAATTGATTGGAAATGTAAACAAGCGACAATTTAATTTTCCCTTTATGATTAATTCATTTTTACTTTGCCATTCAATTTTAGGTCTAAGTGGCTCCAAGGATTCCGAGAGAGCCAAATCAGTGGACAAAGAGACTGGACAAGTTATTCCAAGTAATCCAGGTAAACCTTTTTGTGTTACTTCAATTGATATTCCAGGTAATCTTGCATCTCAATTGTCATCAGTTTTACACTCTTCACCTGGACCTGTTCACTTACGTCAACCAGCACAACCGTCTTTACCCGAACCAAGTAACAACAGTAAATCAACTTACGAACCTTATACAAATTTGGCTTCAACAAGACACAAGTTGACCCGTTTGGGTTCCCGGTCAAGTCCAGGTTCTCAAGTACTTGGTTCAAGCCAGTTTTCCGATGAAGATGATGTTGCAAGTTCAACCCGTGAACCTGATGAGGATGCCAATGATTCTGGGTTTGAATTTTCAGAAACCCTGGCTGGTGGTGCTTCAAGTGTCTCGGCTTCATCGTCTTCATCGCGCACCCGACCAGTCAATGTGAACCCTCGATGGAGGGAAAAACTTCTCTCTATTCAATCGGATGTTTCTTCAACCAGTGACTTGTTGTTGGCTCGATTGACTCCATCAACTGCAGAGCCTTCAAGGATTACCACACCGAGTTCAAGTCTTGCTCTATCTCGTGGTAGTCTGGCAAGTTCAATTAGACCCACTTCATCTGAACTGGAATCGGGTTGGGGAAGTCAAGAGTTGATTGAATCATCTTCAACCGATGATCGGTCTTACCCTAACCCACTTCAAGAAAAGGAATCCTTTGAATCTGATTGTGAGGTTGATCTGGTTGAACCTAGGCAAAGCTTGGAAAATGTGCTTCTTGGAATTGACGAGAATCGAAATATAATTCGCTTTGAAGATATTCAAGAAGCTGATCTGGAAATTGAACCAAGTTCACTGGTTTCATCTTCAGATTTACATTCACCTGAACCTGAAAGATCAACAGCTCGTCCGGATAAACATTCATTAACCAATTTAGTGAACGTTAAACTAAGTGATGCTACAAAATCAAAGGTTGATCAAGGTGGTAATGTTGATATTGATAGATCCAATAATGAGGATGATGATGATGATGATGAAAAAGGGGGTTTATTTATTAATGAGAAGTATGTTGTTCACTGCAGACGATCAAAGGATCGTGATTTAAAGCCAGCTGAGTCAATTGATGAAGGTAAAATAAAAGTCTCAAAGGTTGATGAAAGCCAATCAAAGGAGATTTCAGGCGATATTAATTTATCAGATAGTCAAGGTTGTACCAGCGGTAATCCAAAGATCAATTGGTATGCTCGATCAGTAAATGAGAATGTAAATGTTCGTGGTTTATCAACACGAATAAATAAAAAGGAGGAGAAACCTGGTCAAGAGAAAGATAAGGAAAAAGATGATTTTGTTAAGCGAATTAGTGGAACTAAGGATCAATTTAGTGATGATGATAATGATGATGGTAAGGATGATGATGATGATGATGAAGGTGGAATTGATCAGGCATACCTGAAATCTCCTTCAAAATCCGTTGCGGTGTCAACAGTAAATTTATCTGATTGTACACCTGCAGGTTTACCTGAATATTCATCAATGAATTCTGAGCAAGCAGACAGTAAACTTTTGTCTTCAACTGGGAGTAACAATGCAAATACCAACAAAAATAGTTCTAGTACAACGGCAACAACAACAACAACAACAGTAACAGCAACATCAAGCTCGGCCAACAATAGGCAAACATCAACCTTGAGACCAAGGAGAGGAAGGAGTGGAGGTGGGGAAAGGCGAAGCTCATCTGATCCTTTTGGATGTAACCAAACTTCCCAGTCACTGAGTAAAACTGTTACAGACCACTTGAAATCACGAGGAAGTATAACGGTTCCTTATAGTGGTATAACCATCTCAAGAGGTTTAGCATCGGGTTATTTGAGGCCCTCAGTGGTTAACCTTTATGGTGATTATGAGCCAGAGGAGGGATTAAGAGGTTTAGTCAAGAGGAGTGAGGTCAACAGTAATGAAGATTCAATTTGTACCGTGAAATCGTTTAAGGATAATTGTAGTACTGGATCTAAGTCAACCAAGTGCCAACAACCTAAATCACAATCATCGTCATCTTCATCATTATCATCGTCTTCGTTAATTCCTACACCATCTTTAATTTCATCAACTACTGTGACTACTTCATCTGCATCAACTTCAACTACAACCTCAACCACAACCACTGTCTCAACCATGCGCCTCTCTCGACCTAAACTTGATCCGGATCAGTTGATGAGTGCTCTTCTACCTCATCGAAAAGAAGTGCCCAGTTCATCGACAACTACTCCGCCTCCACCGCCTCCACCTCCACCACCACCACCACTGCCAACGGTTAGGTCAATTGGTTTACCAAGTATTACCATGTTTCCCGTTTCACGGAAAACCCAGACTCGAGAATTGTTTTCTCCTGAAGTTCGCTCCATTGGATTACAGCGAGATTTGAGTGTGGCTCTTCAAGCCATTGGTATCAATACTGATATTGACATGGATTTGATGAATCGCATTCTGGATAAAATATTGGCTCCAAAAGCATCCATAGCTATTCAAACAGATGATATGGTGAAACCAGTTAAAGTGCGTAAATGTCGTGATGCTTCGGTTGGAACGGAAAAATTTTCCCGTGAACGATTCTCTGCTCTGCCTGAGACACGATCAAAATATACACAAACGGAATCATCTTGGCTTAGATCCAAGACGAAAGCCGTCTCTACTGAAGATGATTCACCGTTGCCAGTTACACTTCAGCCTAGTTCACCAGGGGATACTCGTCGGTCTCGAGGTATTGTACGAATTGTTCGTGATCGACCGTACAAATTGAGCTGCGAAGATATTCAAACTGATTTATCCGATCACCATGAAGTTCAAGTTGGTGTAAGTAAATTTACTTCAATTGACTCTGATTATTCTGGTAAAACAAAGACTGGAACTGATGAATCAGGTGATGCTACTCAACAGCAGATTTGGTATCAACCTTGTGTTCAACAAAAGCAACAACAATCAACTCAAGTTTCTAGGCCAAGGTCGCCACAGCATTCAATTAAGGCATCAACTAAAACAGCTTCCAGCCAAACAATGAACACAATCTCATCTAACACAATCCAACGACCAACAAAAATAACAGCAACTGCCGATCGAAATAAACAAATTCAAACAGATCCACCAATAGCATCACAGCCAACTACCATTGAGATACCGTATTCAGGTACAGAGACTCGGCCTGTATCTCGAGCCACATCAATCACCACGGATGGCAATTACTCTGATTGTTCATCCAAACAATCGACTCAAGAAACCCAATACAACAAGGAATCCAATTATCTTCCTTCACAAGCTCAGTTAGAGCGTTCGCTCAATCAAAATGATCGTATGCCAACCTTCAACTCGGCACTTATGGAACCAGAAGTTGAAAGGACGAATCAAATTAAACCAAGGACTCCATCGCCATCACATCGACAACAGACGCGATTCAATGCACAATCATCAATACCTTCTTATAGTCCCAACCTTTCTCCTCAACATTATCAACAGCACCAAATGCATCCAAATCAAGTTCCGATGGTATCTCAACCAAACGATAACTTGCTTTATAACCAACCAACTGCTAGACAAAACCAGCCTGGTCCATCAAAAGATCAGCTAATTGGTGAAGCTAGGACCAATAGAGATGATAATAACAGGACAACCGATAATAAAGGAACAACTGATTTAGTTCCTTGTTCACAGTCTGAACGTTTAATGAAAAATTTTGCTCAACAGCTGCAAACTCATTCAAAAGTAATTGTATCCATCAATAAAGAGAGTCAACGTGAAGTTTCGGAAGTTTCCTCAATCACAACAATGGATCGAGATGGTAAACTATCAAGGAAAACTCAAGTCTCAACTAGTCGAAAGATTCCCGTATTTACTGGTTTAAATAGGGGCAATCATTTAGTTGGAGAGGTCGATGATGATCAAGCAAGTCAAAGTACAGTTACACAGCCTGTAATAACATCACCAACATTGTCCAAAGGAACCTTTCCTTCAACACCAGCTTCACCTTTAGGTAAAAAATATTTAGAAACCACATTAAGCGAGTCATCGACACGACCATCATCAGCCTTGGATGCTCATTACATACAATCTGTTTCAACTCATGGAGGATTGGATCAATATCGATCAACTTCATCCAACCTAGAGTCAAACAATTATTACCAAATGCGGTCAATAAATGAAACTGATATGGCAACTAGAATACCTTCACCTGAAGGTCCGCTATCAGTACACCCTTCATCATCAGCACCAATAACAAGGTCCACAGCGGCTTCTAAAACTAGAATAACCGATCCATTGCATATAGTTATTAGTGAACCTGGTCAAGGAGATGACATTTCACTTCCTTCACCTCCTGAATCATCATCTTCATCATCACCTTCACCTCTTCAAATTAGGTATCCTTCGTCATCAGCAAAATTAACAGAAGCAGGTGAAACAACGGCTCATAGTCAACAGTCACCAGTCCAGTTAGTTCATGCTCATAATCCTATTGTTAGTCGGCGAAATGTTAAACCTGGTTTGGTTGGTATAACCTGGGAAGAGGCAAGTAGCTCAACCATTTGTAGCGAAATGTCAACTGAGCCTTTTAAGGATCCAAGCGGAACTTTACATCGTCCCAAGGCAGTCTCGGTTTCCAGTGAGACTGTTATTGCTAGCACGGGAAAGGATACAAAAGTTGAAACTCGATCCAGAGCCAGTCGAAAGTATGCCAATAATGCTATAATGGAACCAGATATTAAATCGGAAACTATTTTAACCGATTCTCCTCCTTATCCAGTTGCTCCTTCAAATCGAAATGTTTATCCTAATCAAAATCCACTCCATCCTTGTACATCAACATCATCACCATCATTACCAACCGTTCAAACTGCCAAACCAATGGATACTTTAAACAGTTCACCTTACCAACAATACAGGAATTCAGCATCAGTTTCATCGCCTCCACCACCTACTGGTCATTCCAATCCTCTTTCACCTCAACCTTCATCTGATAGGAAAATGCATGAACCTGAACGCCATCGTCAAAGACACAAATCTTCAAACCACGAAACGGGTAACTCATCATCTGTTGGATTGATTGAAGGAACACCGAGAAAATTAAATCATCATTCTTTGTCAACTACCAATTTATTCAACGAACCTAATTCAATTGTAAATTCACAAAGATCTGACAGGATGATGCATTATCCTCCAGCTCCACCTTCGTACACAACATCACCCGATCCTCGTGATTCTCGGTCTATTGGTTTGGGTTATTTTCAACCAAGTTATACGGAAACACATCTGCCAACCTTTCGTGATGACATGAATCTGCGTAATTTGCGGCAAATTGGTTTATCCAATTCAGATTCTGTTGCTGCTAAAAGTCAAATGTTGATTAGTTCACCTCAGCCTTCAGTTGATTCTGGTTTAAAGGTTGATGGTTCAAGTGTTGATGAATTTGGGTTACGGAGTAACGTTGAGTCTCGTGAATCAGTGGCACCTAATGCTGATTCACGACCGATCTCTAGAGTTGCGCTACAAAACCCTGGAATGGACTCTAAAATGACTGGCCAAAGAACATTGAAAGAGTCAAGAAGAGACGAAACGTCAAGAGTCTTAGCACAATCTGCTCAAGCAACGATTATGCCGAAAGACTCGAAAGAGTATGTAAACAATCAATCACATCAACAACAATATCAAAATCAACAACTAAGGCAACAGCCACAAGCAAAATCACAAGGTGAAACTGAGATCACGACCAGTATAACTAAAACAACGATTCCCGAAGAAACTGAACCAGACGGAATTGGTGGTTTAAAGGTTAAAAGGCCTGCCATGTCTCGTTTAGTACTTGAACAAATGTTACAATCAGGTGATCGAAGTAAAGGTGTTTCAATGGGAAACCATAGCGGTGGTGACACAGGCAAAGGGAATCAAAGTAATCCTCCAATTGGTGGTGATGGTTGCACCATTTCATCATCAGTAACCCTTGAGTCACCTTATAGGTATCAAAATAAAATGGCATCGATGAAAGATTTAACCTATTCACAGAGAAAAGCCAATGAAAATGAAAGAGAAGGCGAAAGGGAAGGTGAAGAGGAATCAGTTAAAGGTGGAAATGTATCCAGAATGAAATCAGCCACATCCATGGATTCAATACCAAAGAAGAGATCAAAATCTTGTCATAGTTACACATTTGGCGGGTCAACACCAGGAATTGGCTCCAATGAATCTAATCGAGCTGGTGGCGGTGGTGGTGAAGTGGTAACAACAAGTAAATTTGAGAGGCACAAAAGTCCACAAGATGGTAGAGGACGTGAAGAGACTACTTGGGAATACTCGATGGAATGTAACTGTGTAAATGGTGTTAATACGTCGCTTCGGTGAGCAACTATACAAAAATGATTACAAACAAAACACAAAGACAAAAATATGCATCAAATTCCCTTCCTTAAAACCAGCCAAATATCCGCATGAAAACTTATCAACAATCACAAATTTAATTATAATGAAACAAAATAATCAACTTTCTTTTGGTTTACCTCAACCTTGCTGTCACCCACAGTTAACCCAAAATACCAGTCTAAATTTCCTTGGTTACCCTTTTACTCACTTTTGTCAATCACATTGTTAACCATTTTGTCTCGCCTTTTTGTTTATAATTTAATCCTTTTATTTGCTCAAACAACTAAAATGTTCTTCTTTTATATTTTTCTCTCTTTTTTTCTCTCACCATCATAATTATCGTCATCTTCATCACCAGAACAAGCGTTAAACACAAGCGAACCTATTTACCCTTTGCTTGTACTATGTACGAATCATCTGTTTAAATGATGAACCACCTACTTGAACGGCTCAAAATTACCAGTAAATACTGTGAGGACTCATTACCATCATCTTGAAATCATCATTATCTTCTTCTTCATGGATTTTATACATTAACATACATTCAATTCTTGAACCTTTCCCAAATTTTTTATAATCAATTTCCAATTTTTCATTTTATCCATTGTTTTGTTTTATTACATTTTAATATTTCTATCAATCTTTAATTCTTACTGTTTACACCTTTGTTTTCCTTGTTTATTCCATATTTGAAATTACAAACCTTTATTTTGTTATTAATACCATCAACAGTATACGCTTTTGGTTGTAACAATCAACTACATAAAAAATACTAACCAACTGTTTAAATTATAATGGTGTTACTTGAATAAACAAAAGTGAAATCATCATCACTATTAGTTCAACATCATGACAAAAGTCAGTATTGAATGTCTATCAAACTTGGAGCCTCTTTGAGTCTGGATTATTGCTTAACTCATAACCATTAGTTAATTAGCTGCTATTAATTAGTAAACAAATTAATGATAATCCAACAAATGTTGCTATTTATCACTTCTTTTATATCAATAGTAAACAGATCAAGACAGACAAGTCTTGTAAGTCGCTACAATATTGTAAGGTGGCTTTTAGTAAAGCTTTTTGCTTACCTCATAGATCTTTTGGAGTAAAACGTTTATATTCTGAGGTAAACCCAATTTAACATTGATTTACAGCTGAAATTTATACAAAAAGTGCTATTGAAAGGAAAATGCATTTCCTGTAAATCAAATGTCAGACGCTTTTGATTGATACCTTCAATGTTAAGGATATGACGCCAATCAAATGTATTTTTTGTATTACCTAAATTTGAAACATTTGAACCTAGCAAACAAATTTTCAATAACTCGAACTCACAAAGATCGTTTGGAATGTAATCATTGAACTAATTTTGGTCATTATTGTAAACTCGTCATATTTTAATCAAGAGGCCATAAGTCTAAAGCTTTACTTACTCAATCAACAATAAACAAAGTATCTCTTTAGAAAGCTTAAGATCCAATGTATTTCCAATTTGACAACAGCTACAGATTTCAATTCTGATAAAATGAGCAAACACTCTATAAAGTCATTCTTATTTCATCGTATTTTGGTCAACATCTGTAAATTCATGTCCATCTAGCTCTACGGAAGTTTCAGTTGGTTTCAATTGATTGAAAGTCATCACCTGGACTTGTTGAACCATTGGTAATCGTCCGCAGAGGATTTTCAAGTTTCGAGGTTTTGAGTTGGAAAAAATCTCGAGAATCAAATTTTGTTAACTAAATCATGTTAATTTGAAGTTTATCTCAAGTAACCTTCAACATTGATCTAAATTAGTTAATTTCTTGTATCTTAATCCAGAATGATTGCAAAGATTTTGTTTTTTAATAAAGAAATTGCGTTTTAATTTGATCTTTCTTTCATTTAATCTGATTATTATAATTGACAACTTTAGATGGGGATTTATCCGCTCGTGTGTTATCAAATGAACGTCAATTGTATCGGAAAATATTCCATGCAAGTTATGTTGAGCAGTTTGTTGATCGTTCACGATTTAACTGAAATACACCTTTGAATAACACAATTGGAGATACAATTATCATTACCAGAATTGATGTGGAAAGCCAATTTAGTTGTCATTAAGGTAAACTTGGTTATCACATGGCTATCAAGCAACAATGACCTGTCACTATTATAATACATAGATTTTCAATCTTTTCAAATTCATCAGTTTTCACTTGTCTCAATTTATTATTGTATTGTTTTTACCATGTAATAAAAATCTGGACGAGTAAAATGAAAGGGATTTCACTAAGCCACAGATTTGATATAAAAGTATTAGACACTAATCAGTAATTTCAGTAAATCTGATTTATCAAACGAATCAGTTTAAATCAGCAAAAATGGTACTGAAAATGTTTAAACTTACTCTTGTTTTGATCTGCATTTCAGCCAGTAAGTATTAACGGTTAAAACAAAACGCCATCTTTTGTTAAATTAAATCCTTTCTCACTTTCATTTCTGTAAAATTTAAGTAAACAAAGATAATCCGTTAGATAAGAAGACTCTTCTTAACTCTTTGAAAGGGTTTATTTAATTACAAAAGATGATGATTATTTTGTTGAAATTGAATCTTTTTATGTTTTACTGTGAATTTATTTGATTTAAATTTAAAGCAGTTGTCTTATTTTAACGATGTTTTATTTTTTGTTACTTAAGTTACTGTGAGTGAAGGTCGAGCTGTTCAAAAACGAAATGTCTTGGATGATTTATTGGCCAACGTTCAAGCTACGATAAAGGTTGAAGATGATGGCAAGTTGTCGCTTCCTGCTGTTGGACAAATTGAACGTGCTCGGTCAAGCTTCCTCGAATCCATTTCACAACTGTATGCAGCCGCCCAGCAAGGTACCGATAATTTTGAATCATACCTTCCAGATTTACAAAAGATTTTGTCTCAACGAGTTGACTCTGTTGTTAAAGCCCTGGATAAACACTTGGTTCAAAATTCTCGTAAAATTGACGAGATTAAAAAGTTCATGCTCCAAAATGATGGTAAAACATTGAGATCACTGGAAAGTCGATTTGAAAATCTTATCTCAATGCCTGATGTGTCCACTGAAAGTATCTTTCAAATCCTTGGTACTATTGATAAGATTGAAAAACATTTGATTAGTGAAGTTTCATCTCTTAAATCTCGGGGTCTTTTCGGAATCAATTGGGGTTCAGTAAAGGACACTGTTGTTGATCGAGGAACTGCCATTGCTGAGAAAGTTGGTGATACTATTAGATGCTTCTTTGGAATTGGCTGTGGAAATAGAAAATCTAAGGCCGATGAAGAAAAGGATCAGAAGAAGAGGCAAGAGGAAGAAGAAAAGAAGAGGAAACAACAGGAGAAGATTGAAAAAGAGAAAGAAAATGTAAGAGCGGCCTTAGAGAAGGTTGAAAAAGCCGATAGACTGTCCAATGAAGAAAAAATTGATACATTTAGACAAGCTAGTGCTGCACTAGACAAAGCTGAAAACTCTGCGGATCAAGTAATCAAAGAAGTCAAATCAAACTCACCAACTAAAAATGGTTCTAGTGCTTCATCATCTTCCAAAACTAACACTAAGCCAACTTCAAACTCTGAAAAAAACACTAAATCTCAGAGTCAAGCACAACCTGTTACTTTGAAACCTGACAAAACTAAAGAGACTGATAATTCAAAGAAGACTTCTTCTCCGCAGAAACAATCTCAATCTTCTGGTCCTTCTGCTGCTAAAAAACCTGTAGACTCAAAGAAAGATTTATCTCCACAAAAGCAATCTGAATCTTCTTCGGGTGTACAATTAGTTGTAGATTTGCCAGTATCCGCTTCTCAAAATACTAATTCTGGAACCTCGAATGATAAAAAATCTGGACCTTCTACTAAACAAACTGCTGAACCTAAGAAAGAATCTGAAGCATCTAAGCAATCGAAAGCAGTCGAATCAAAGAAGGGTTCTTCTCCACAGAAACAATCTGAATCTTCTTCGGGTGCACAATTGATTGTAGATTTGCCAGTATCCACTTCTTCAAATACTAATTCTGGAGCCTCGAATGAAAAAAAATCTGAATCTTCTTCTACTAAACAAACTGCTGAACCTAAGAAAGATGCTTCTTCACAAAAGCAATCTGAACCTTCTTCTAGTGCTCAAAATGCTGAACCTAAAAAAGATGTTGAATCGTCTAAGCAATCGCAAGCGACAGAATCAAAGAAAGATTCTTCTCCACAAAAACAATCTGATTCTTCTTCTGGTGTACAATTGGTTGTAGACGCGCCAGTGTCCACTTCTTTGGATACTAATTCTGGAACCTCAAATGATAAAAAATCTTCCGACTCTACATCGGACCCTTCTGCTACTAAACAAACTGCTGAATCAAAGAAGGATTCTTCTTCTGGTGTACAATTAGTTGTAGATTTGCCAGTATCTTCTTCTCAAAATACTAATTCTGGAACCTCGAATAATAAAAAATCTGAACCTTCTTCTGAACCTTCTTCTACTAAACAAACTGTTGAACCTACGAAAGGTTCTGAATCATCTAAGCAATCTGAAGCTTCTACTAAACAAAACGATGAACTTACGAAAGATTCTGCTCCACAAAAACAATCTAATTCTTCTTCTGGTGTACAATTGGTTGTAGACACGCCAGTATCCAATTCTCAGGATACTAGGTCTGGAAATTCAAATGATAAAAAATCTTCTGACTCTTCATCTGAACCTTCTTCTACTAAACAAACTGTTGAACCTACGAAAGATTCTGAATCATCCAAGCAATCCCAAGCAAGCGAATCAAAGAAAGATTCTTCTTCTGGTGTACAATTGGTTGTAGATACGCCTGTATCCTCCGGCTCTTCTGATAGAAACCAACCTACAGATACGAAAAAGGATGTTGATTCATCTGAAAAAACCCACAACTCTGAATCCAAAATCAATGAGCATGAAACTAGTACTAAACATTCTGATCTCTATTCTCAGACCGTTACCCAAGCATGGAACGCCGAGTCTTTATCCGCAGGTCAAGATCATACAACAAAACCTAATGCATCGTTATCTGATGAAACTGCTGTTGAATTTTCAAGTGATTCTTATGAAGATGTTACTGTTGGTTCAGCAGCTTCATCAGAAACAAGCAATCATGGATCGATTTCAGTTGCAGCTACATCTGAAGCTAATCAACCTACAACTCAGTCCACAAATTCTAGTACGTCTGATGGTAACAAAGTTGTCGTCATAATAACTTCAAATGATAACGACTCTGGTTCATCTGAAATACCATCACAATCGTCCAATCAGCAAACTAGTTCTAACTCAGCGTCTGCAACTAATAATCAAACATCTCAAGAATCCAGCTCAACTATTACTTCCGTTCATGATGGCGTTAACGCTGGATCTGACCAAGCAAAAGATCAATCTGGTTCTCCCTCTTCTCAAACTTCGAATCATGAATCAAGCTTAAGCTCTACTTCCGAATCTACCACTCAATCTTCTCAAGCATCTTATGAATCTAGCTCAATTAGGACTTCAGATACAGAGTCTAATAGCCCAGTAACACAACAATCAGGCGGATTATCCATAGATGTAACTGTTGGATCAATTGTTCCAGTTTCAACTGAAACTAAGTAGCCAAGCTACCAATCATCTTGCAGTCATCCAGCAATGTATCCATCTTCAGTTTATCTGAAAGGTAATGCACCCTACAACTTCTAAGTACCTCTGATGGAAACACAGGTGTCGTAATCGTGACCCACAAATGAAAAATGACTCTGCTTCATCTGGTACTGCACCACAAAACTTCAAATCAGCAAACTAGTTCTAGTTCTTCGTCTGTAAATAATAGTCCAAGCATCTCAAGAATCCAACTCAACTGTTGCTTCTCTTTATGTAGATTCAACTGTTGGCTCTGCGGTTACCGAAAATCAATCCGTATCTCAAACATCAACATCTAGTTTGGAGTATAGCACACAAGCTTCATCTCAGGAATCTGGCGAAATTCGTACCTCAGATTCAGAGTCCAGTAACCCACTTTCTCAACAATCAAGTGAAGTATCAATAGATGTAACTGTTGGATCAGTTGATTCAGTCGCGACAGAAACCAGTAGCCAAGCTTCGCAAACATCTTCACAATCGTCCAGCAATGTATCAGTCTCAGTTTCAATTACATCTGAAGGTAACGAACCTACGACTTCTAATACGTCTGATGGTAACACCGTTGTGATAGTCACCACAAATGATAATGACTTTGGTTCAGCTGGAACATCATCTCAATCTTCAAGTCATCAAGATGTCTCGTCTCTTAATGAACATCCAACTGAGAGTCAAGATCTTACAACAACTAGTGAATCGTTGTCAGATGAAATCGATTTTGAATTTTCAACTGATTCTTATGAAGAAGTAACCGTCGGATCATCAGCCTCATCTGCAACTAGTAACTACGAATCACAATCATCTAACCATGAATCAGTCTCAGTTTCAGCTACAACTCAAAGTAACGAACCTACAACTTCTAATTCAGCTGATGGTAACACAGTGGTCGTAGTCGTGGCAACAAATCAGAATGACTCTGCTTCATCTGGTACTCCATCACAATCTGCAAATCAGCAAACAAGTTCTAGTTCTTCGTCTGCGACTAACAGTCAAGCATCTCAAGAGTCAAACCCAACTGTTGCTTCTCTTTATGAAGATTCAATTGTTGGCTCTGCGGTTACCGAAAACCAATCCGTATCTCAAACGTCAACATCTAGTTCGGAGTATAGCACACAAGCTTCATCTCAGGAATCTGGTGCTAAGCGGACCTCAGATTCAGAGTCCAGTAACCCAGTTTCTCAACAATCAAGTGAAGTATCTGCAGATGTAACTGTTGGATCAATTGTTCCAGTTTCAACTGAAACTAGTAGCCAAGCTGTCCAAACGTCCTCGCAGTCATCCAGCAATGTATCAGCCTCAGTTTCATCTGAAGTTAACGAACCTACAACCTCTAGTACCTCTGACGGTAACACAGTTGTTGTAATTGTATCATCAAACGAAAACAGCGAAGTTTCATCTTCGCAATCCGCTAGCCATGAATCAAAACCATCTGATGACTCTGTTTCTCAATCAGTTACCCCAGCATGGAACTCTGCTTCTTTACATGAGGGTCAAGATCTCACAACATCTAGTGAATCATTATCTGATGAAATTGCTTTTGAATTTTCAACTGATTCTTACGAAGATGCTACTGTTGGGTCATCTGCCTCATCATCAATCTCTGTTTCAACTACATCTGAAGGTAATGAACCAACAACTCAGGCAACGTCTAGTACATCTGATGGGAATACAGTTGTTGTAATAGTGACCACAAATGAGAATGAGTCTGGCTCATCTAGTGCTCCATCACAAACTTCAAGTCAGCAAACTAACTCTGGTTCTGCGGCTAATAATCAAGCATCTCAAGAATCAAACCCAACTGTCGCTTCAAATTTTGATTCAATTTCAGAAGTCCAAAGCACTCAATCATCTGCCAGTTCATCTTATGATGATACAACCGTTGGATCCTCAGAAGCTGTAGTTCAATCTACTCATAAGATGCCAACTCAAGATTCAACACCTAGTTCTTCAACCCAATCAACTTCAAATTCAGATTCAGAATCTAGTAACCCAGTAACTCAACAATCAGGTGGAGTATCAATAGATGTAACAGTTGGATCAGTTGATTCAGTTTCTACAGAAACTAGTAGCCAAGCTTCGCAAACGTCTTCACAATCAACTAGCAACACAGCAAATTCAGCTGCAGGTTCTTCTGGTGCAGATGCTGTTGTTGTATTTGTCACCTCAACTGAAGCAACTACTGGTTCTTTTGGAATTCCTTCACAATCAACAAGCTCATCATCTAGTTCCTCATCTGAAATTAACAATCAATCTTCGGAGCAAAAATACGAATCATCCTCTTCTGAAACAATTACTCAAGCATGGAATTCGGGTTCTTTAGCTGTTGAACAAGATAATACGAATGCATCTGGTGGATTGTCTGATGGAACTGTTTTTGAGTTCTCAACAGATTCTTATGAAGATCAAACTGTTGGATCTGTAGTAACCCAAGACCAATCCGTATCTCCAACCTCATCATCTAGTTCGGAGTATAGCACACAATCTTCTCAATCATCTCAACAATCTGAGTCAACCCGTAACTCAAATTCAGAGCCTAGTAACCCAGTAACTCAACAATCAGATGAAGTATCCATAGATGTAACCGTTGGATCAGTCTCGACAGAAAGCCAAGATCCCCAAACATCTTCACAATCATCCAGCAATGTATCAATATCAGTTTCAACTTCATCTGAAGGTAATGAACCAACAACTCAGGCAACTTCTAGTAAATCTGATGGTAACACAGTTGTCGTAATAGTGACCACAAATGACTCTGCTTCATCTGGTACTCCATCACAAACTTCAAATCAGCAAACCAGCTCTAGTTCATCGTCTGTAATTAATAATCAAGCATCTCAAGAAAATCGCCCAACTGTTGCTTCAACTTTTGATTTTATTTCAGAAGCCCCAAGCACTCAATCATCTTCCAGTCCATCTTATGACGATACCACCGTTGGATCATCAGAGGTTGTAGACCAATCTACTTCTCAAACATCCAGTCAAAATACAACACCTAGTTCTTCAGTCGAATCTGGCTCAATCCGAAATTCAGATTCAGATTCACAGTCTTATAGCCCAGTTACTCAACAATCAGGTGAAGTATCAATCGATGTGACCGTTGGATCAGTCGACTCAGTTTCAACTGAAACTAGTAGCCAATCCACCCAAACATCATCACAATCGTCCAGCAATGTATCAGTCTCCGTTTCAACTGCATCTGAAGGTAACGAACCTACAACTTCAGCATCTAGTTCTTCAGCCCAATCTGGCACTCAATCATCCCAGGAATCTGGTTCTATCCGTACCTCAGATTCAGAATCTAGTAATCCAGTTACTCAACAGTCAAGTGCGATAGATATAGATGTAACAGTTGGATCAGTTGATTCAGTTTCTTCAGAAACGAGTAGCCAAGCTTCGCAAACGTCTTCACAATCAACTAGCAACACAGCAAATTCATCTGCAGGTTCTTCTGGTGTAGATGCTGTTGTTGTATTTGTTACCTCAACTGAAGCAACTACCGGTAC